TTTCGTGGTATTTGAAGCTCACTGGGTGAGCCTGCCTCGTACTTTAGAATGCAGCTCATCGGTTTACTCGGGAAGATGATCTGCTCAGTTCTGAAAATGTTACTTTTACCTATCAATTTAAATTCAGTCTAAAACAAAGCATAAACTATGCAGATAGTAAAAAGCGCCAGTCAAATCCATCTAGATGAATACAAAAATTTAACTTAGATTAAATCATTTCCAAAACCTACATTTCAACTTAGTCAGCTTTCTTTCAATTCTGTATAGAGGATATTTTATTCTAAAAATTAAAATTGGAAAGTACTACGAAGTGGTTTCATATTTTGTATTTCACTTTCCCTCTGCATGAAGCCATAAGTTAAAACTCCCTTCCTGTCCATCTCAGAAGCTCCAGTCTTTCTTTCCCAGGAAGCCACCACAGTTGACCTCGTTCAGGAATGGCAGAGGCAGCACTGCCACCAGCAGTACTGTTTTTCCTGCCCAACAGCAAGAATCTGAATTGATCTTATCCAGTGCCCTCAATTCTGGTGAACAGAGAATGACAGAGAATTTTACCAACAGAGGGTTTTCTACTGAACCTTCACTCATTCTTCCTCAACCTGAGAGGTTAACCAGTTTCATTGGTGCTCGAAACCAATTTCAATACTGCTTTTTATTAGTGTTTAAAATCAAAAACCCCAGTAGAGTAAGATCCATGAAAGCAAAGATCATATCTGCTTCATTCCCAATAAATCTTTAGTCCTTAGCTCAATGCTTAGCATAAAGTAAATATAAAGTAAATACTCACGGAACGAGTAAATGGATGAATAAAAACTTAAAACACCAGGATGGTGTTTATTTTTAAATTGTGCAGTGTTTATCCACAAGTGTCTTTGAAAACTTTTTTTTTTTTGTTAAAAGATTATTTATTTATACAAGCACTGGGTACAGTCAGAAGAGCGGGAGGGTGAGAGAATTCACCAGAGCCAGAGGGGAGAGCAGAGCAGGCAGTTCGACGAAACAAACTGCTGAGGGGAGTAGCAGGGATGGCAGGAGAGGTCAGTGCGCCATGTGGGACCCTCACCTGGTGGCCGGGGATCGAACCGGTGCTGCAGAGGCTGCGGACAGCTCCGCAAGCCAGCACTCAACCGCTGCGCCACCAGGGAGGCCCCATTACAAACATTTGAATAATTATTAAACAATGGTGATTTGAGTACATAAAATAGAACAATCTATTGATAATGAATTGATGACAAGGATATCAACAAGCATATAAATGTAGATGGTCAGGTCTTAGAACCTTTCAAACTGTAGGTCTCATGTGTAAAAGGGAAAAACTTTAGTTTTTTGAAACACAGACCATTAACTTCATATTGAAAACCCCAAAAATAAAATGCAGACTTAATTTCAGTCTAAACGATTTACTCAAAAAAAGGCAATCACAAAAAAGCAGTGTTATATCACTAAGAAAAAAAATTATGTTCACCTGATTTTTAGTTTTGTTAAGAAAATGCCATAGGCATAACATTTTCATCTTGATATTTTGCAAGATATTTAACAATGTTAATATTCTTTATGGTCAGAGTGGGAAAATGTAGATAGGATGTCAGGACAGAAGATGGATTCAAAACTGATTGAAAAAGAATGACTAATGAGTGCTACTAATACATTAGGTTCTTTTTTTTTTAAAAAAGATTGATTGATTGATTGATTGATTGATTGATTGATTGATTGATTTATACAAGCACTGGGTATAGTCAGAAGTGCGGGAGGGTGAGAGAATTCACCAGAGCCAGAGCGGGGAGCAGAGCAGGCAGAAGGACTGAAGTGCACTGCTGAGGGGAGCAGTGGGAGGCAGGAGAGGTCTGCACGCCATGTGGGACCCTCCTTCATGGCGGGGGAGCAGCTGGGGATCTAACTGGTGCTGCAGAGGATGCGGGCAGCTTTGCAACCCAGCGCTCAACGGCTGTGCCACTGGGGAGGCCCTACATTAGGTTCTTAACCTTCTTGTATCTATAGTACCGCCAAGTAGAAACAGAAATGAGAGGAAAGTACAACCTTAACTAATGAAAATGATGACAAATAGAAAGGCTATAAAATGGATAAATCAACTTCTAGAAGGAAGTTGCTGTATGGTAAGAGATTAAACTCTCATGTACCTTTCACTTTGATATTCTACAAGTCTATGATATATTTAAATATAAGGAGAATGAAGGCATAATGAAAAGCCATTATGAGCAGTTTTGGGCTCCAGTTTAGCTTTCCAGGTTAAATCTTTATTCCTTTGGTATTCACTACTCCAGCAAACTCATACTATCTGCAGTTTCCCAAACACATCCCAGGATTTCACTGGAAATTAATTTCTATTTGCCTGGAAGAAACCTGCAATATTTTATAGTAAATATTTCATATTATTTTAATTTTCTTCCATTTTTAAAATTCTCTTCATACTTAAAGGCCAGTCACATAGGCTACCAGGAAACTTTTCTTCATCATATCTATCCCCTTCCCCAAAATCAATTTTTATCTTGACCTTTTCTTGACTCTTGAACATTATGTTTGTAGGCCTTATCAGGCATGTTATTTGGCACACATTATGCTTAGTGGTCTACTGCTTTCTACATGCTTTCTTAATTATCTCATCTACTCTCACAGCTTTAACATCACCATATATGGACAAGTACAAAATTTATGTCTTGTCACAATTTGTCCTTCAAGGGTGACCATCACACATCTCACTGCTTGCAAGATAGCCCTATTGCAAACTCTGTGCTCAGCATTGAAGTAATCGATATCCTTCAGTCTATTTTTACCCCCTAAAGTCTTTATTTCAGTTGGTGACACAACAGCAGACTCCTTCCCAAAACCAGGTCCTGAGAATTTCACCTCCTAAATAAATTTAACTGCAAATCCTCTTCTCCACTTCAGTTGATGCTTTAGTTTATACCCTCACCTTTTCTCACCCAGAAGGGACATTAGTGGACTTCAGATATAATCACATCTCTTTATAAATCTATCCTACAGAATGTGGTCTATCAAAGCACAAATGCAACAATGACTTTCTACTCCTTAAACTCTTTTAAGTCTTCCATGACATCAAGGTAAAGTCCAAATTCCTCAAAACACCTTTATGGAGGACCCAAGTTGAGCTCACAACACTAAGTAGTAGAGAATGAAATTGAAAGCCTGAAGGCACGCTGACTCCAAAGCCCTTCTTTTAAAACTCCATGCTGCACATACTGTGTTTGCCAACCCTTCTTTAGGAACTGAGCGAAAGATGTCAAAGTTGTATCAGGATCTATCAGCATAAACACAAACACATCTTTCTTCCTTTTGCCTCCTCTACTATCTCACATGTTCTCAGAAGGTTTTGGTGGTTTCAAGCAAGGAAAACTCATATTTCTCTAGATTCCTTTTACACCCCAAACTGCACATACAAAATCTAGATAACTGAAATATTTCTTTACCTATGAACTGATTTATATTTTTTTAAAATCTCCAGCAGGGTTCTTAAATACATGTGTATAAAAGAGGAGATGGAGGTGAACCATATATGAGAGAACGATAATCAAGGAACTAAGTAATAATATAGGCACAGTTAGCATTTACAGGCAGTAATGATTTAATTATGATTAAAGCTATGGGAGATATAAGACGTTTTCATTTAAAGCAATATCAGCTGTCAGTCTCCTAACTTTGTGTGTGTGTGTGTATGTGCTGTTTTAAGTTTTTAAGTCAAAAGTCCAAAATAAACTAAGCTTACCTCTTGAGGAGAAAGGTTCAAAGTAGGGGAAAATTTATCACTTCTTTTATCAGGGGATTATCTTGTTTATTACCTTATCCAATCAGCTTTGGTAAGCAAGAATCCGTAATTCTCATGTGTACAACCATATATCCAACTGAAAGCAAAAACAGCAACACCACTACACTAACCATTTCATATAGTCCAAATTCTAGTCAAGCTAATTCTTTTTATGAAATTTCAAAAGCTGCTTCACAAACCAGGCTTAAAAATTACAAACCAGGCTTAAAAATTAATGTTCATGACCATATTTGTAAAAGATGTAATGATTAAATGTAATATTATACTACATAATTGTATTACATTACAATTAAGTATAAAATTAAATCAGAGGGAAAAGATATAAACTGGGCAATGATATCATACCACATCACAAAGAATTCCTAGAATAGAATTTATGTCCTAATTTAAGTAACTGATAGCAAAATAGAAGCCTTCATAGAAATACTTGAAATTTACCTATAATTGAATACAATCTAATATAAAACAAAACGTTAATCTAAAGAGTTACTCATCTGAAGCTCAGAGTTGCAATAACTTTTTTTTTAAATCTCTGTATGTGTGTCTGCTTATCTGTGTATCACAGTCACCATTGGAAATCAGACGAAAGTCTTAGATCTCTTTCCAGAAATGCGTACATACACAAATGCAGGGCAGTGATGTAAATCTTCTATGAACATATGAAATAAGAAGCTCTAATTTAGAAGCTCAAGTCTTGTGTTCAATAAACAGCATACAGTGTATGCACCTTTTGTTACTGAGAAACCTCTGTTTAAGAAGTGAAGGCTATATTATGCCAAATTTCTGTGAATATGAAAAGGAAAAACATACCACAATACAATTTTTCCACACAAGACAGGCTGAGCCACTTGTCTCCCTTCTGTTCCTTTCTATAGGATTTTGGTCGTCCTATTTCTCCTTCATCCTTTTGTCTTCCCATTCCATCCTCTATTGACTTTAATAATCACCTTCCACTTTAAGCCTCAGCTATTGCACAAATAACCAAACCTTAACCGCGCAGGCCCACATACCCAAGCCATTAAAACCTGATGGAAAAAGCTCTTTCTCCTAAGGAAGGGGATTTGTGGGAGATGTCAGCTAGTGAACATTAACTTCTCCACGTCAGCCACAGTCACATGATCTTTCAGCCATTAGGTCATAAAGCTACAGGCAAGTGGATCAGAATTCACAGGAAAGTAATGAATAATGGTATTGAGGTTAAAGGTGATGTACACCATGGAATGTCTCATGATGGCAAATTTCCTGTCTTAGACCCACATAAAGAAAAAAAGGTACTGAAGTTAAATGTATTGTGTAACCCTGTTTTTAACCTGACAAAAGTCATATCCATTATTTTTACAGATTTTTAAAGATGTATGGTGTATGCAATTCTAAAACAACAATATTTTAGATACAAAATAAAACTGATAGAAATTTTCCCCTGGCAAAAGAGAAGTGAAAAAAGAATAAAGGGTCATTCTTGCTTAAATATACCTATATCGATTAAGGAAAAAATAGCAACTAGGTGAGACAAATACTAGGTGTGACAAATTGATTCCTGGAATAGATTATTTTATAATTTAAATATGAGTATAAATCTTAGTCTTCAAAAGGAAAGCTTTTTTATGTATGTTTTAAAAAACTGCACACACAGGTTTGTACTAGGATTAAGAAATACTTAGAGGTTCTTAATAAAATATAAAGACAATTTTAATAGACCAATGATCATCAAAATAGATAAAAATTATGAATGAATACCTGAATTTAAGGAAAAACTTCACATGTCAACAGAAAATTCTGGACCTGGAGGTCAGAACTTTATAAGCCTTTGTTTTACACATTGTAACGTGTTATAAACTATTTTTAAATTTTCAAGCTCTTAAATGACATTGTATCTTTATTCTACCTTTCCCCACATGAAAATACTGGCAATAGCCTTGCATCTGATAAATCCTTTCTAATATTAATATTGATGAGCTGGCTAACAGTTAATGTCTTTTGAAGCTGTACAGGAAATACATATAAAGCATAAAAAGGGAAGCTTGAAATATTTTCCTCTATTTCCTACTTATTCAAAGCATAAATATTCTACTTTAAAAACTACATATAGGTCGATGGAACCTTCTCTGATTATTTCAGAAAACACTGAGTTTTCTCTCCAGAGAAGAGATCCAACTTTACCACACTTTATCTGTGTCATGTATAATGGGAAGAGGAACAATTTTGAACTCACCTGCCCATGTTTGAATTCCAGATCAGTCACTAGCTTGCTCCACACTCTTGACCTCCCTAAATCTCAGCGCACTCATGTGTGAAATAGGACTAAGACTCCCTTACAGAGATGTGGTAAAGATTACAAATACCCCAGCCTATGCGGCATACAAACCAGATCACCTTTCTTATTTAGGTCATTCATCAATTTCTGTGTGTTTAAATCGTCCTGCCAGCTGCACTGCAGAGCCACGGCCAGCACCAGTTTTGGTAGGTAGTTGGACGATGACATAGTAAGTTTCCTGCGAACTGGAACTGCTTCCCAAGAGGAAGTATGAGGAAGAACCTGGATGTGGTTCTTAGCTTCATCAGGAAAGCAGGTTGGTCTAACAAGCTTTCATTCTGTTCCCTCCTTCCTGCTCTGCCTCATCAAATTAAAACATAATTGTGACTTGGAACACTAGAGCCCTGTGAAACCAATCGGGACAGTGGCAACTATCAAATCTGCGCGTATCTGGGCCCTAGTTGTTTGGCCCTTGTCACCCAGAAGCGAGTCCTCTGTCATCCCCATGAGTCTTATGGCTTCATTCACATCTTCCTTCTCCACAATGCTGACCATTCGCAGATGTACTGGAGCAGCACTGCTATCTCACAGCTTCCTACCTGCCCAATCCCAGCAGGCTCTTAATGAGCACGAGGAGTTAAGTGTCCAGCACGTCAATACAACCTGCACACGATCCCTTCTGTCTGATTCCAGCAACGGAGTCAGAGGGGAGGGGAGGGGAGGGAAGGGAAGGACACATGCACAATCATGGTCACATATGTGGGTGACCAGGGCTGCATTACCTTTTTGGAAGTCACAGAGCACAGAGGCAGAAACAAGTAACATGCTAATAACCCCAGGTTCGTGATCCAGTTAATGCCCTCAGGACTAACATTTCAGAAGTATATTTATCAGCATTTCATACTTGAGCATACACTTAAGTAATGACTTTTTTAAAGTACATTTTCTCCCAATCTACTAGTCTTCCATTTTCTCTATAAATTAAAAGCTAATATAATAAAGATCCACAGATAATCATAACCTACCATTTTAGTCACAAAATCTTCCTTCTGCCTAATCTTTATGTGCAGGGATCAAGAAATACCAGTGGCCAGATTTATCTTCAGCTTCATTCTAATTCCTGAGGCATTGCCTTTAGTAATAAGTGATAATCAACTAAAGACAATCAACTAAAGACTAAAGATTAGGAAGCAACAAAGACACCGTAGCAATCAGCCAATCAGAAAGTTCAAAGTCCAGCTCTGGAGCAGACAAGCACCTTCCCTTCTAGTGTCCAGTTCCCTCTGCCCAGGATGCACACAGTGTCAGCTTGTGGCTCATTTCTAGCCATTGGAAGCCCGGGTAGAGACTGCAGGCTGCCCTGACCTTCAGATTTACTTTCAGCATTGAAGGATAATCTGTGCTGACAAGTCTGATTAGAAATCACCAATTTACTATTAAATTGTGGAGACCTCAAAGGAGCCAACATTTACTTTCCTTCCCGGTTTATGTACTGTGCAAGTAGCCCTGGAGGATATCTCTCTTCCTTCTGCTTTATTACAATTCAATTTCGCTTGTAAACTAAATCTACCTCAGGGGATTTCTTGAGTGTAAAGGTTTCTCTTACCTCTTCCTGGGACCAGTGACTCTCTGGCAATTCCATTTTGAACTTGTTCCTATGTCTTCAAAACCATAGAGGAAATAAGATCTTTGTCACTGCTCTAATTTATAATCATTTTACCAGAGTTCGTAAAGACCAGATTTGGGTCAAAATGATTTACTAGGACAACACACTGTAAGTCAGTAAAATGCTAGTTCTGTGGATGAGAATAGATGGCTCAGGTTGATGGAGTTTACTGCTTTAAATTTCATGCTAAGAAAACGGGCACTGGCTGATCTCAAAGATGGTAAATTAAGCATTAGTTCAAATTTGTGGTGTGACAGGTACCAATATTTAAGTACTTGCTCTCTCTCTTTCACTAGGAAGCAAAAAAGCAAAGCATTCATATTATTAACTCAAAATGAAAGAATGAAATAAGGTTAATTCACAAATGAAACCAAGAAGGGTGGTACTTCCAATCTCTGGGCTCCTTTCTTCATTAGAGCAGAGCAGCTCCCTAGTGAGCTACCCGGGGAACCACAGGTACCACACTTGGTCTCAATGCTCTACTGTGACCATCTATAAATTCTCTATAATTAACAACTTGTCTTGCATTTTCTATTTGCACTGGACCCTGGTCCTGCATGAGAGGTGTAAACAATGCTCTATTAGTCTTATCATCTTCATAATAACATAGAATCCATCAATCATTCATTCGCTCAATGGCTTTTTACCAAAACCTACTCTATGTTAGAGATGTGAGAAGCTCTAAAACAACAGGTATACTTATTATCTTCATGAAGTTAACAGACTAAATAAGAAAACAAACAGCTAAAACTGTTCAAGAAAAAAAATATGTGACTGCTAAACTGACCTTTATAACATGAACAAAAATGTTATAGCTTAAAAGGATATATTCCTAAACTTCTCGGCTCCTTTTAGCTTACCAATGTATCTTCCCTTTCTCTCCTCCATGCTACACACTGAGTGACAAAGTGGGGCTTCTCCAAGCAAAACCGAAGTAGCCAACACTTGAGGGCCAATTGTAGTTCAAAGTTTAAGGAAATCATTTTAGATGTTTGGAAAGGCTAGCCTTTGGGATAGGAACACAAGTATTTCCAAGTACATGTTAAAAGAATAAAACTCAAAGCACACACACTCAAATGTTCCACTTGTCTCAAAAGCACTAAGTCCCACACACTTCTGTCCCATGAGAGGTATGATGAACAGCTTCCAGAAACTGTCTGGCATGGTGACCCTCAAGAACAGCGCAATAATCCATTAGTTGATGGTTGATGTGTCTCCTTCAAACAACCCTAATATTGAGGGCTAGGTTTGCTAATATTTTCATATAGAAATGTTGGGTAACAGAAGCAAAAATGTGCTGGCACTTTGCCAAATAAGACATGTTCTCCATTAACAAAGAATGAATAGAAGGTTTTCTAGTATGTTCTCCACCTTGAAAACACACTGGGCATGTCTCAACAGATATCACTGACAATTTCTCTTTACTTCAGCCTTTATCTGAAGTAAATGGCTGAGTCAATCATCATGGAGCAGTAGGACAAAAGAATCCTACTAAAGACCCCTAACAAAACTGACTGAATCAACAGGAAGTAATAGCTCTAAACTATCTCAGAGTAACATGTTCAAATGTTGACTATTGCCATGTTCTCTGCTGGTCTGAATGTAACTAAAATGGAAAGGTTTTTCTTAATTAACTCGATGAGAAATATTTACATATAAATACCTTTATTTTAAGCCTAGGACTATTGGCATCCAAAACAAAATTTCACAGGATCTATATTTTTCTAGGAGGTATGAGAGTATTAGACACAAAAAGAGAAGGGGGGGAGTAGTTAACAGTATAACATAGAGAACATAAGTATGCATTTCATGAGCCCAAATTAGTAGCTTGCTCATGTGAGTAACTGGATCTAAAATTTTCCAAAATAATTTTAAACAAATCATCAGTCAAAGAAGTGTAAAAATTATAAGTACAGAGTGTGGTAAGAGACTATAGTGGGGCCAGCAATAACCATATGTGGTAGATGAGTTCCCTCAAGTCTTCAAAGCAAAAAAAGTTGATAAATTTCCAAAGACGTTCCAAAGAGACAGGAATCCTTCAAGCATGTGATCAGAGAAGACTTTATAAAAGATGCCAGCATTCTAACCAGGCCTCATAAGACAAGTGGAATTTGAGCCTGTAGAAAGGGGGAGACACTGGTGAAGGTAACTGAGTCACCAAGAACATGAAAGTGGGATAGTGTAGATAGTGCACAAGAAACAAAATTCAGTTGGGCCAAAGTGGATTGCACAAAAATGATTCAGTAGGTGGTAACATGGCAAATGGAGTGTGGTACACACTGCAGTGGGTCTTCAAACTACAGGGGCAACTGAGCCATTTCCAGGATAGGCATCGAGATCACAGCCAAGCAGATAGTTCTGGAGGCGACATGGACAGGAGGGTGGCAAGTGCTCGGGAAAGGAGCACAGATGAAAAACAGACATTCACCACCTACTGTGACACAACCACCTTCTGCTGGATCCCACTGGCCACCAGTCCTTTTGTGACAAATGTGCCAATGCATAGAGAACATATGGTAATGCCTACGGCTTTTTCATTTTAGTTCAAACATTTTAATTATTTATTTTTTAATTGAAGTAATGTTGGTTGACATCATTATTGGTATTTTGGAAATAAAGGATACCCCCCATTCAGGTGTGGTCACCACAGCCTACTCACTACCAAAGCACCCATGGTCCTCCACCACCCTCCCCAATTTGTTCTCACTTTTTGCCCGTCCCTGCCTCTGAATGCCCCCAACTCACCAGATGACTTTTTAAATGGTCACCCAGAGATTATGACTGTTGTAGTAGTACGTTCCTATTACATACAGTTACATATTCAAAACAATAAAATTTCTCATCATCCTATGGTATCAGCCTCTGAAATCACAATAATTTGCTGTTTCACAGCACATTCTTCTGCCCTATCTCTATCTTCAGTTTCAAAATACTTTTTATCTTTCTCTTACAATATACTTGGTGCAGTTTTTAAGCATTATATACAACCATGAAAGATATTATTTTCTTTTTATTTTTCTCAACTCCAGAGGATCAGAAATGAAAGCTCCAAAACTCCTGAATTGAGCTCTAATCTTAGAGAACATCACTCCAACATACACCTGCAAATATCACTGGCAAGGTTCATTTTGTGAAGATAAAATAACAATCTAGCTATAAAACACAATACTGAAGCTTGATGTTGGTAGAATAACAATGACATCTTTCTGAGGGAAAGAGCCTAGTGACTAAAGTCATGAATTTATAAACTCCTCGAGGTCAAGGCCCTGGATTATATTTATTTCTTTTGTTTCCCATAGTACCCTTTGCAGTTTCAAACACATAGCTGCAGTAAGATTTTAAAATTAAATGAGAAAAATGTATATGGGATGTTTGGGATATTATAAAATGCTACATTAAGCACAGCTGACATTAGTTTTAATTGGTCTTTGCGATTATTCAAAAGGGATACAAATATGGGCAGGTAATAAACAGGCTGTAAATATATGGGGGTGAGAGACGGTTAAAGGAAGGAAGCTCAGAAACTTTGTAGATATGGAGAAAAAAAAACCTTTCATGGTGAGAAAACCAAAAAACTCACAATATGGGGGTTCATGCAAAAACAACATAAATAATACCCATTTGTCCAGATATTGAGAACATTTACACAGGGATCTATATTTCACCTCAAATTCATGTGCGGAAGTCAAATACAGCAAGTAACAATATGTACTAAGTTCAGAGTAATAAGTCACCTGCAGATAAGAATATTAGTGGTTCAAAGATTGCTTAAGGAAATGCAATAGGGTACAATAATAAACTAGAGGTAGATGAAAGGACAAACACACAAAGTTCTTTCTTTATGGTTCTTCCTTCATTTGCTTCTATTTATTTTTTTATTATCAAGTACCTAGAGCATTGCCTAGCACAGAGCAAGATTCAGTAAATGTCTGTGTAATGATTGATATATATACTAACCATAGTTTAAGGCCAATGAACTAAGAGTAATATCCATTATTTATTGGGGATCTAATTTATCAATCTGCTTAAAATTCACAATCTACTTGAACTTCACAAAACCCAGTGGATTAGTATTACTATTCATATTAAATGAATGAACTGAGGCTGAAAGTCAGTAACTTGCCCAGGGCTGTGAAGCTGATGACTAGCAGAATTCAACACTGTCTGTCCAGATTCTGTGTTCACTTGCTTTATTGACAACCTCTGACCACGGATAATAGGAACACATGAACAGAAAGCTGTGCTTTAAGATTTGCTAGTGTGAAAAGAAGTACTAACGTGTAATTTTATTTATAGTCTTACAGAAACAGTTTCTTTTTTTTTTTCTAGAATCTGATTGCATGTACAACCCTGAAGCATCCATCCCATGTGGGGAAAACTGTTGTTTTCCTAATCACAGGCTGTAAGTAATGCTGCAAAAACAATCTGCCACAATTTACAAGCCTAACAAGCTAAACAGGGCGAGTGTAGAGAAATAAAAACATTTCCTTCATCCAATATTTTCCACCTGCTTAAAATCCCATCAGAATCAGATTTCTAGATCTGCTCTAACTGGCCTGCAAGATTATTAAGGTAAAATCATCCTAGAACTCCACACAAAGTACAACTATGTGAAATTACACAGAAGTCAAATGTACATAAAAAGGTGCCACACAGGGAAGAAGAGCTCACTGCTGTGTAATTTAATGAAACCTACTGGGCACCAAGGGCACAGGCAGCCAAATTGAATTTTAAATGGTGCCTACCAGGAGGCTATAATCAGGATGGCCACCAGTGGGTGGATGAGATAAATGAACTGACTTTCTTCAACCAGGCGATCAAAATAGAATGCCATCTTTATGCATGAGACAAAAAAAAAAAAGGTTAAAATATGCATCCTTCACACTCCTGCTTTTTCACTACATGGTCATTTCTAGGCTCTTCCCTCCCCAAGGAGTGAACATCATGCAGAAGGATTTTTTTTTCTTACTTTGATTTTACTTGTAAGCTATTCCAGAAAAATAAAATCTTATCCTATAGAGAGCAAACTTCTCCACTAGCATAGAAGCTATTAAGCAGCTGACATTCTCCAAGGGGAGGCTCAGAATGAATGATACGGTCAACCATAGTTAAGAGCTTAGGCTCCAGCAAGAATGGCCAAATGATAAAAGAATGTGTCAGTGTTTAAACTCTATGTCTTAAGAGTAAAACTAAACTATCTCACAGGAAGGTTTCTAAAGACATTGTTTTCATGAATCTATGTATTTCTCCCTGATCTTTCTTATTAGCTTTCTACCAGACCATTTGACCCCTACCTTGAAGTTTTACCAAAACCTGAGCCAAAAACTGTCCGGAACTGAACTTATCACCTTGTCTCATGAACCATGCTTCCTGCAGACATCCATCCCACTCATTATAAATGGCTGCCTTTTTCTAGGATGCTCATGGATGTGGAAACTGAGAGCCAAAACTAATGCCCTTTCTCACTAATGATAATTGGCTGCCAAGTCACACTTATTTATTTTATATTTTCTTCCTGTTTTTTGTACCTCCCACAACTGAGGGTCTCACCATGTTGATCCCTACCTAAGGAGGGAGTAGCATGGTTTAACCAGGTGAAGTGCAGTCCAGTGAGACTTTCATAATACCATGTGGAGGGGAGGGGTAATAAGAAAGTCAGGCAAAGCCAGCAGGAAGCAAAGGTTGCAATTCAGTGATCATGTGGCTGCCTACAGCAAACTACAACAAATGGGAAAGCAATTTACAATTTGGTCACCAGCAAAACAAACCAGAACTCCTAATGTATCCCTGCCGGGCCATTTCTGGCATTTTCACTGGACAAGGCTGAAGACTCAGGAGAAAGGACTCAGGGCCTGCACTCAAATATGGCCAAAGCTGGCAGAGACTAACATATAACATTACCTTCCCAAGATGCATCTCTCAGAGGACCTTAAGGACATCAACCAAATAAGACGTCCCTGAGTCCTTTCAGCACTTGCATGCCTTGTGTCTGCGCACATGCTTCTTAGAGTTTGAGCCCATTAAATGGAGACATGTCACTATATTCAAGTAAGTGTTGAGCACAAGGTTTAGCATTTGCTATTCTGCAAAGTAGGAATGTAATCAATAGCTGCAAAGTTAAACTGCATTAAAACACATATAAAATACTTTTCAAAGAGACCATATTATATTATCAAACAAAGAAAATGATTTGCCTACTCTCTTTTTGTTAATTTATTGCTTTTATTATTATTATTATTATCATCATTATTACCTACTCTCTCCTAAGCACTTTCTTTATCTGGGAATAGTGTGGTGAATAAAACAGAGGCAGCCTCTACCCTGTGGAACAACCAATCATAAAAGTAAGACATCATATACATAATTTCAAAAATTAAGTAATCACAAGTATAAAAATGCTATAAAGGAAATGATTAGGATTTAAGTCGGTAACAGTGATATCCCCTAACCAAAGCCTAGTCAACAGTATTAATTTACACATAAAAACAATATACAGAGCAATTCCATAATGCCTTCTTTTTTCTTTTCAAAATGGTTGTATTATTAAGACTGGTAAACATGAAAAAATCCAGTCAACTGGATTTCTGCCAATTATCTTTCAATGGAACTCTCCAACAATTTGCCTTAAATGAACTTGTCATGTGAGCAGCTACAGGGATGAACAACATCTGTCTGCTCAAACTTCTTCTCTTTATGGGCTTCAGATCTCATGAATATCCTAACCCAATCCTGATCACTAATTCTTCTGGCCCCTGCCTCCTTCTCTTGCTGCATCTACTCATCCTCCTTCAAGCTTTCAGCTCTGCGTGCCTCAAAGGCAACTTGTTCAGTCACACCTGCTCACACCTGAGGGTCTTGAATCTGCTGGCCCCCCATTGGAAAGAACCTCCCCTCCTCTTTCTCCATGCTTCAGGTGTGAACTCAAACCTGTCACCCTGAGGAAAGCCTTCTTTGGCACTCCATCTAATTCATGAACATCCAGGATGCACCTTTACTTTGTAACATTTACCTCCTTTGTAACTTTATCTGCAATTTAGGGAGTAACTGATTAATGTTGTGCTCTCTGACTAAAATTCTAGATACACAAAAGCCATAACTTTCCAATCAGCATTACCTTCAGTCCCTAAAATAGAGCCTGACATATAGTTGTAACTTAAAAACCATTTGTTGAATATGGTTTAAAAAAAGCACCAATATAAAGCAAATTCTTCTTCATTTTCTTACATCTGGTAGGTAGTTTACACTTTCAAAATGTGAAGACCAGGGCTGCTAAGACTAAAATTGTTACTCTTCCTCAGAGTACTGTTAGAATCAATTCTTAGTTACTTAGAAGTAACTATAACAACTGTAAAGGAGTTGCTTTCATATCTAAAGATTGTAACTGTCCATTTAGATTAGATAATGCAAGCCCAAATGAGAAAAACAAACAGCAACAGAACAATGTTTGATCATACACTCAGTTGTAGAAAATGGTGATCTATTTGTAATTCTGTTCTAGACATGAGAAGAAGAGGGAAATCTTACATTTTTATTCAAGTCAACTAAAAAGGGAAGGATAAGTAATCTGGGGGGTTTGATTTTTTATGGGGAGCCAATTGTGGCCATGAGGAGAAAAAGTTGCACTGACTTTGACCTATAATACCCCCTTTCCAGGCACACATGTTGGGATGCCATGACCTGGCAATAAGTCCACGGTTTCCTGGATGTGCCAACCCAACCACATCACCAAGGACAATCTGCACCTACACGGAAGGTATCTGAAGGCCTGGGTAACTGCATCCTAAGATAACATTAAGAGCACGTTTAGAAAAACTGCTAGAGCTTACAGGCAGAGAGGAAGAAAATCTAAGAAAGTCATGCCTCTATTCAGTGGCTCTCACCAAGGAGCACTATGTCAAATGAGAATTCGACTTAATCACAGAATCATGCTGTTTTAGTGGTTATAGGCACATTACTTTTTGAAAAAATTTGATATGACAAATACATGGACACTATAAATTATACTGGAATGACCAAAAAATACATTTCATGTCTCATGGCCTCCAATGTAATTGATTCATGGAATATAGATCATAATCACAGATAATATTAACTCACAGGTAATAACCAAGGGATGAATAGTTACCTTTCTTGTTTTCCTTTGATATAAAGCTGTGGCATGACTAACAGCAGACTACTAGATCTCCAAACTAAAAGATTAATTTACTACAAGGAACTTGACATCAATTTTCAATCATAAACATGTTGATAACATTTATTTATTTCTTTATAAATTAAAGGTATCATTGAAAATGTCAGAAATTTTAATGAAAATATATAAAATAAATCTTATATTTACTTATTGTTTTTGTATTTATATATATATTTTTCCCTGCATTTTCAGGGAGAGAAAAGGAAAATGTCTGCTGATGAAAAGCCAGTGAAGTTAATGACACTAACAGTTACTTTTACTGTCATCAAGATGCTCATCTTAGAAGCCCCCAGGTGTGCTGAGCAGTCAGGAGTGCTCATTTACACACAGATGAACATGCAAACAATACTAAAGATCAGAGATAGCCACACTGCAAGTTGTAAGTTACATCTACACACTGTAATCCAGCAATATTTATTACTTCTTAAAATGGTTGGTTTTGTAAGAAAAACCATAGCTACTATAATTTGTTATATTTTCCTATTTATTATTTTTAAAATTTTCAGAGGGACTAGGGAGAACAAAGAAAATGCCTGGTTTCTTACATAAGCAGAAATATAAATATTACTGAGACATTCATCTATTCCCTCACCTATTCATCTAAAAATAGGAACAGTAGGATCTGTTTGCTTCTACCTGAAAAATGCTTTCAAAATCCCTTTCTCTTTATTCTCACAGCTCCGATGACATTCCCTTTGTCTCCGCTTGAAACTGTTATAACAGGCCTCTCACCTTCCTGATTTTGGATGGCCCCCAAATCAATATTTATTCTCACTGGTATTAGACTATATAGTTCCTGAGTCAATTTGACTCGTGACCGCTCAATTGCTTAAGTTTCGTTATGTATAGAATCCCTAGCATGGAATATAAACAGGAAACTTCACGACCTGACTCCTTCCGTCCCCGCCACTGTTACCCTTTCTCACATCACCCCATCACACTCCTTAAGTATGTTTTCATGCCCTGAATTCACACTAGGTCTTCTTATAACACTTTGTTTTTGAGAACTCAGTATTCCTCCTGCCCAGAGGTCCAGTGAATCTTCTGCTCAGCTTTTAGATCAACTGACACCTCCACTATGAAGCCTTCACAGATCCTTTCAGGGCCTGTGCTAATACAGCATTTTGTTCATACTTCAACAGAGCCTAGGCATTCCCAAATCAAAAATCTGTAATTGTTGTCTATTTACCCCAAATCCTGAACATTCATAGAATGACCTTATCTGCCCCTTGGCTCAAGTAGGAATTTGACTTACATGTTAGGCAAGGTCAACCAGGAAGCAGGAACCACCATAGGTATTTTGAGCACATAGAATTTAATATAGAAAATTGGTTACACAGGTAATGGAAGAGTTCAAGAGTCAAGCAAGAGTTAAAGAGGCTATCCAGAAGTTGCCAACAGCAGAAAACTCCATCCATCCATTTGACTGGAGTGGTACTGGAAGCAGATGGTGTTACCAGTAACCGAACAACTGGACTGACCAGGGTAGGATCATGACCATGATGAAGGGCAGGCTTTCTAGAAGGAGAGAGGACTGCCATCAAAGATACTGCCCAAGGAATTGTGAGAGGGGGTGATATAGCCTGGCTTCTCCCTGCCTCCTATTTTCCAGAAGTTCCTGCCATTGCCTGAATCCACCCAGATACAAAGGCATCAAGACTTCTGGGAAAAGTCGTCTGTGAAAAGTAGTCATGGAAGGGCAGAATGGAAAATGACTCACACACGGAGTAAGGTTGGTGAGCACCTCGTGAGACTGCTGAGCAAGCTTCACCAGCTGATTACTATCTACAGCAAATCATGGAGACGTGTGTTCACTATCAAGAGTCCTTTGGATGCATCTGGATTTCTTTTCCACAGTTTCCACAGGCTAGAAGTCAAAGATCAGGTGCCATTATAGTTGGGGAGGGGCCCTCATCTGAGTTGCAGACATCTTGTAGCCTTGCAATGCAAAAGGGACATGGAAGCTCTCTTGTACTTCTTTTGTCAAGTCCTTAATCTCAATTATGAGGACTCCATTCTCGTGATCTAATCATGATCTAATCACTACCCATAGACTCCCTACCTCCTAATACCATCACATTGGCTTTAGGATTTCAACAAATGAATTTGGAGGGGACATAAACTTTCAGATGACAGCAACTAATGATTGCAGAAAATAATTAAAGCTTGTCCAGAGCCTTGAAAATGTGCTTGAAGAGGGAGACGTAGTATTATGCAACATCATTTCAACACATACAACTACAGAACATTATCCCGCAAAGGACTAACATCCTCAGAGGGGTACCCTCAGGAGACATCACTTTAAATGTCTCCACATCTGTAACATCATTTTATTTCATTCTTGCAATGTTCCTGTGAGGTATAGTAAAGTTCAGATTAAAATGCTGTTAATTACTAAAATTTAATTGTAGATGATGTATTAATTGAATATCTAAGATGTCATTTGTCTCTCTAGTTACTTGTAGGGTAAGAAGAAAAATACAAATCTTAGTTCCTGCTCTATTTGAAGAGATAAGGCTCATCAGAAAAACACAGAACCATCATTAAAACTTTGTTTTTATTCAACACTGTTTTATATGGTTCAGTACATCAAGGTTTCTGGTATTGCCCGATTCCTGAAAATATGTGACACGTGGAAAGTAAAGTATTTATTGAAATTATAAGTAGCTCAATTCTGAGTTTACATTATAATCTGAGTGTCATGAATTCTAAAAACAAATCACTAAGTGGCATGACATCTATCATTTAAAGAGAAGAAAAGAACTCCCAATGACTAGTCAGCAATATCCCTGTACCAGAACTGAGGCAATGCTGAATCTAAACTCATGATCTTTTTAAAATAACCACTCAAAAGTGCCCAGGAAATTCCTAGATTCTTTTCAAATGATCTAGCTAGAACTTTGTTTCTATCACAATATTGAGCAAGATGGACAAAGCAGAGCATTATCCTTTATTTTTAAAGAGACACTAAGTCCTTGGTTTTGTTATTTAAGAAGAGGGTCCTCTGGGATTAACAGTATCTTTAGCCTTAATAAAGGATTACTACACAGACCTCTAACAGTGAGGTACTTAATATTAGAAAACTTGGTGAAAATATAATAATGAAAGATAAAATTCTTTTGTTAAATATTTTTGAAAAGACAGTATGCTTTGGTCAGATGTTCTGGCATTCTCCGCAAATGGCCTCTGTACTATATTCTACATTATTAATGTTTACCATAATTTTTTGAGAACTGGCAAAAGTTGCCATATCACATTACTGTAAGTGGTTCTAGGAACTATAAGCATAAACTGAAGACCCAAGAAGCTACACAAATATTCACCCATGTTAAGAGACATATTATTCATATGGTCATAAATTCTGAATTCTACATATAATACAAGATGGAATTTCAATTACCATTTTACTATTATGGTGTTAGGATTCATAGCTCAACCAGTAACCAGTGGGATAATTTTAAGAGTCACTCACTTAAATTCAGTATTCTCATCTGTGAAAAGTAATAAATGACTTGCCTCATGAAGGTGAAATGGGAACTGAATATGTTCCACAGATCACTGATCCCTTCAGGATATGGGTCCAACTAAGTTTGGAAAACACTTGATACTGTGTCCTGCACTCTCCTTTCCCCAGAAGGCTGTTACCAGTCATCAGTATATTAAAGCTTGTAAAGTTTGCTATAACAAAACCAATTAATTTTCCATAAACAAGTGTTTCTCGAATCTACTTGTTTCCAAAACTATTTTATTTTTTCCTGTTAATACCGGTTAGTATACCCAGGAAACACTGTTCCTCAGAACACACTTGAAAGTGATAACTTACGAGAACGAATAGTTGAACTTGAATGACACCCAGCAACAGAAGCTTTGAATTTGATGTTATTCTTACTTATTATAAACAATCCACACAATAGGACATTCTTGTCAAGCTGGAGGGTTCAAGTGTTGATATGTAATAAGAATTTGTAAGGAGTGCAAATTTTAAACATATTACAATACTGTATAAAATGATGTGACTCTCGAGTGTCTGTTTTGAGTTCTTATAGAAATGGTGATGAACTCACTTTCCTCAGTTGTCTGCTTTGCAAATAACAAACCATTTTCTGAGACAGCTAACCAATCTGAAATCTCTGAGTCAGTGAGACCAACTAATCCATAATGACCCTGGCCTCTGTAATATCTAGTTATGGATGGTTGTGTTAACTGATGACAACAAAGCATAACGAGTTAAACATCAAAAAGTTCTCTTAGAAAGATTCTACTCCACATAAATTGAATGAAGATTTCAATCCTGTAAAGGAAACCAATCTAAACAAGTCTAGGGGAAAATCTTGTAGAGCTTCCAATATAAGCCCAATAAAAAGATGATCTTTGCACTCTAATTAGAGAGATGGATAGCAAATCATGATACAATTTAACTTCAAGTTCTAGAAGTAAACCATCTACCTGAAGTCACAGTTTTAGAAATCTGAAGTCTTAACTTAGAATATGGTTCACAACTGTGGTCTCAACCAGCATAATGTGTGAGCTTGTGAGAAATGCAAATTATCAGGCCTCCATCAAACCTACAGAATCAGAAATTCCTGGGTAGATCCCAGGAATCCATCTTTTAAAACACGGCATTGGTATTTTGCTGCATCTTAGAGTTTGAGAACCACTGGTTCAGACCATAAGGCAACACACCTGAACCTTACACACCCCATATGGTAGGACAGAGGGAGCTGAAGGGAACAGGAGCAGTGAGTGACTGCTGCATTGGGCAACACCCACTGATAAAGAAACGGGAGTCATGGAGCAGGTTACATAATGCAGGATGCTGCTGAAGAGCAAGATCCTGGCCTTTTTTTTTTTAAGGATTTATTTATTTTTATACAAAAGCTGGGGTACAGACCAGAGGTGCGGGAGGGTGAGAGGATTCACCAGAGACAGAGCAGGGAGCAGAACAGGTGGACGACAGAAATACACTGCTGAGGGGAGCAGCGGGCCCAACAGAAGAGGTCTGCAGTACCATGTGGGAGTCTTGCCAGCCGGCTGGGATAGAACCCACACAGCATGGCTCTCAACCCACTGCGTCACTGGGAAGGCACGATCTTGGCTTTTTTATTGATACAAGAATTATACAGCATCAGTTGAGAGGAAGGAGAACAAAGAGAAAATAGAGAAGTGAAACTAGAAAAGGTGCTCTGTCATCTATGGTATCAGGAGTTGTGAGTCTGCCCTCCAGGCACCTCTCATCTGCTTGATGACTTGGTATTGTAATTTAGATAAAGCTCTAGTTTCCCAGCCATGGTTTCAACCTTCTTTTTTTTTAAATGGAAAGATCTTTATTTATTTATTTTTAACTTTGCAGTTTGTTTTTGTTTTTTAAATTAAAGCCTTTCCACTGATCAGCTTCTGGGGTCCCTTGTCGTACATCAGTCCTCAGCCCCCCAGGACGTTCCTGGTCAAACCTCCAGATGTATAAGTTGGGAGTATGTTTTATGCATCCGTCATCAGGCTCTGGGGCATTCCCGGTCATACCTCGTGATGCATAGCCTTCCCAGCATGACCCGGCTTTGTGCTCTTGATTGATTTGAAAGGCACCTTGCAAGGTTGGGCTCCTGTACCTAACTGACCAGCTCATTTTGATCTTGCTTAGGATTTAGAACTGTAGGTAACAAAATGGTGGCCGAATAGGCTGCTTAGGAGTAGCAGACCCACAAGTCATCTACACAGAACAAAGGGGAGCAAAAGAGTCCTGCCTGCTCCCTCAACTGGTCTAAGAAATGCTCGGGATTCTTAAAATGAAAACAACTTCTTCTAGATAGGACCTTATCAGTAAAAAGCCACTATGACCATTAATGTGCCAACACATCATTTATCTTATTCCTCAGTTGTCACATGACAGGAAGGCTGGATATAAGGTAAGTATAATGTGGCATATCATATGACAGGTCAGGTTTAAAGTGGCACAAGAAAAAGAGAATCCTGACCCCTCACTCTAAAGGGCTGAAAGACATGTCCAGGTGTGATACTAGAGAAAGGGATTCTGGAAGGGCAAGGACACTGTCAGCACACTGAGAAAGGGACCCCAAAGTAACACTCAGTTATCACTGCTGTTTGAGAAGCACTTAACTACCAATTAGTTGAGGAGATGACAGTCTCCCCTGGCTTCATAGAACAGAACAGTGTTTAAACTACAGGAAAGGTAGTTGTTTGCTACTGATTAGCATCCTACACCCACTTTATATGTGACATTCAACCTAAATGTGAAAATGATACAAATATGGGACTCTCTTTGGTGTACCTCTCATTACAGCACCATCAGTTTCCCAAGGTGAAATCTACAATTTCAGATCTTCATGTTTGCAAGCACCAGATGACAGAACTTAAGGAGAAACTTTTCGTTTACAGGACAAATAAATAAGACATTTCACTAACACATGCATTGTAACAGGGTGGTCCCCAGGAAAGGGGGAGGTTCCAGCTTCCCTGCCCCACCCAAGGAAGGGTGGAGCTGAGCAGGGAGAGAAGAAGCTGCAGAAGAGACTGAGGAAGGAAGCAGGATGGAGCCAGGAGACCTGGAAGAGGCGCGTGGAGCCTAGAGACACGTGAAGAAACTGTGCTTGTCTTTTGGTCGTGGACTAGGTGGCACAAATGTGGGTGAGACCTGTGGGGAGGTGACAATGGCAGCTTTTATCTTGATGTTGATTTTGCTCTTTTCCTTCCGGGCTTGTCCAGTTGTTTGTGACCCTTTTCTGTGGGTCCCCACTGGAAGATGCTTTAGACTTGTAGCAGGCTTTGGGGCCTTGTTCTGGGCCAATCCCATATGGATGGACTTTTACCCACGAGGGGACGGGTAACTTTGGGTGCTTCATTTAGAAACTAGACTCTTTGCCTTACCTGTATTGTTTCCTAGTTTTTATTAAAGTTCCTTCCCATTAAAGTGTCATATGTTTTGTGTTGATGCGGCGGATGGCAGAACCCATTTAGAATAGGCAGGTTTGCGGGGTTTGGGCTGCCCCTCTCCCTGTCCTATAACAGCATCACAAAGTCTGAAATTAACTTTCAAAAACTCTGCTAAGTACTTAACTACTGAAACAGTATTCAAAAGCACACAATTTTATACTCAACTGACAAAAACTAAATATCTCTACCTCCTGATAGCAACATTACCATACTGTATTCATGTTAATGTTTTTGTTATAAATTTTATTCCTCAAAAGGTCTCTGTATGCCTCTTAAAAACTCAATTGAGGATAAAACTTAACCCACATCGGCTTTTAAAAATTATGACCAAAAAAAGAGAATTTAAAAAACAAGATGGAGATGATGACAATTAAAGTTTTAAGTACAAGTTACCAAAGGGAAAGCAGAAGCCATTGATTCCCTGAAGTATTCCTCCTATACATAGCAAATGGGCAGGAACAACAATCCCATTTTGTGTTGTCCTATCAGTTGACCAGTGACATTTTAACCTCTAATCAACAATTCAAAATTAAGGCTGACACTTTGTCCTTTAAGTAGTTCCAGAGTACTGCAGGATTTTTACTGCCTGATGTTACACCATATGTGCAAACTCTACACACAGCAGGCAGGGTTAAGTAGGATGCCTCTGTACTTAGCCATTCCCCCTGCTTCCTGTTGTTTTTGGAGCAACCCTAACTTTACCTAAACATAACCCTTCTGAGTGAATCATTTTCAGTGAAAGACTCTGCCTTATAGCAGATACCCTGTATGTTGACTATATTTCTTTAAGCTTTGGTGTCTATGGAATTCATAGAACTCACTGACACGGTATTTTTCAGTCTTTAAGAAACCCACATATTTAATGAAATATTTCATAAAATAAAATTACTTACCACTTAGTTTTTATGAATGAAACCTCAAACAATTGGAAGTTGAACAACAGGAGGAATTTTTTTTTGAAGCATCTTTTGGTCAACCAGTCTACCATTAAGTCAAAGTGATGAATACTACAATTTTTAAAACCTTTTGCATAATCCAAGCTTTTTTTTAATTTTTAATTTACTATTACCTTGAGTAAGGGGGTGTATTTACTTATGCTTTAAAGAGGATTGAATCAGAAAAACCCTCTTAGGTTTTACATTCAGAATTGGTTTTGCCCCATACGAAAAATGAGAGAACACCAAATAAATATGAGTAATGTTATATCCTTAGCTTAATGTCAGTGACTCTGACCAAGCCAAAGTTCATGAAAAACATATACAAGAAGAAAAAAAAGTCCTTTTATACATATATGTGTGTGTATATACACATATATATGTAACTTTGCCAGCGGTCTTTCCCCTTGAGTTTTCTGTAAGTAGAATATTTAACTATATATAATTCAAAAAAAAATCTATACATAGCTTAGAGAAGGAAGCATAAATCTCATGGGTCTCAGATTCTCTTCCTGTTGCCTTCCTTCATTATACATTTAAAGATAATCAATAAAAACTGATTTCTCTTTGTAAGCATTTTCCTGTTCTGCCAGAAATAATAGCAGTCCCTGCCCTAAAATGAAAGGAAAAAATGGAAAGTAATATTTACCATAAGAGGAGAAAAAGAAACTCCCTAAGCATTTTTCCTGAGCCAAGTGAAATACAAACAGCAAATCAAGTTTGTTCTTAAAGAAAAAAAAAAAAACTTTAATACTTCTGGCATTAGTTCCATTCTCTAAAAACCTGTGGTGTCAATAAGTTTTTAAACTCTGGAATAATATTTCAACTTTCAATAGCAACTCTTTTTGTCTCCTAATCATTTTGCTATATTTTCTGTATTAATAGATCACTAGAAAGAACTTAGCTCAAGTTGAACACTGAGGCAATAAAGAGAGGACAGTTAAGCCCCCCAAATTGCCTTCTTAGGCAGAGAAAGACAGAAAACCACAGGGAAAAAACAGAGACAAGAACAATTCCATCAGTAAGGAAATAAAGAACTGTAAAACTGCTATCTCTTGATGCAAAACACAAAACTTTTTGCACTTGAATTTTTTTTTTAAGCACAGGAATTTTCTTACTTAAAACATTACTTGAAAAATTTTATATTAAAATAAAAGAAAGTGGTGGTGGTTTTTTCCCCAATATGTTGAGTCTATCTCATAACTATGCCTTCTTAATTGTTTTCTTCTGGATTCTTCACAAAGACTGGAAAAAACACTAAATGGAAAAGTAGCAGACTTTTACTTTGTAATGAAGTTACAAATACATTTTACATGTTTCCTGGCTTCCTACTTCCTTTCACTCTGTATTATCTACAGACGTTGTCATATTTCACCAGGGCAGATTGTAAATCAGACAAGTTCAGTCCATCAGGTTGAAGAATGGAGGTGAAAAGCACAGAGCAAAATATATAAAGTATAATTAAAACCATATGACCAGAGATATTGAAGCAATACTTACTGGAGAAAACCCAAGTAAAAATCAAACTTTTTCTGGTGTTAGTGAAACTATCCAGTCCATTTGGGACAAGCATGCATCACTTGATAAATATTCTTTTTTTTTTTTTTCCACAACAAGAGCACCCAAGGAAGTTAAATCCTCACAAGGCAATGAAGCCCATAGTTATCTTTGTGGCATACTGAAATTCACAGTTAATGTAAAACTGATCTCTCACTTAAAACTGTAATCACTTATTTAGAAAGACAGTTTGAGATTGGATCAGGATCAATTTCACATTCACCAAAGAGTATTAAAGGCTTATGATGACAACATGGAATCAAAAACCTTTTCCATTTTTTTCTATGAAGTCTTCATCTCTAAAGTCCTGAGGATTCCAATAAAACAAGAAAAATCTAAGTGCTTGTTGCTGAACATAAAGAGCAAGAAGTCATAAAATCCAAACCTTCTCTCCTACTACATTATAAACAACCTAGATGTTACTGCTTCACATAGATGGGTACTTAGAATATACAGAAATGAACAGCTCTTGAAGCTGTAAAGCAGCTACAGTAAAAATCTTCAATTCTGGCAATCTATCACCAAAGCCATTCCATGTCTAATTCCCCCAAGTATTCCAAGAATCAACTACAATAATCTCAGTAGACAACTGAAATATAATTTTCAATACTGCTTTGGGATTCTGGCAAACAACGCAAGTTTAGCAAATCACTTACCCCCCAGAAACTGAATTCCTCCAGCCACTCTTCCCACTGTCCTGGAGATGAGCTCAGACACACAGCAGCCCATGAGGGCAGTGAGCGCCACCAGGAGGAGGAGGCCACATCCCAGGCCTGTCACGATGGTACAGATCCTCCATTCCGTGCTGGGGATGCCCTGGAAGGAGGCATAGCGCCCACATTCCTCCACCATCACCATCATCTGCCGGGTCTCATCATGCACAGGATATGAGCATCTCCGGAAAGTGCCAAAGGACACAGGCTTGCCCAGCTGTGAGCCCCAGAGCCAGTAAGGCATAAAGAACCCCACACAGGAGGTGGCAGCACAAAGAAATGAGAGCAAAGCCCAGATTACTCCTGTACAAGTCAGACTGGAAGCCATCGTTCACCAGAGAGAAAAATGAGGACCCAAAGTAATTCTTCTGAGGCCACAGGAGTTAGTAAATGTGTGAAACCGCCAGGGACCCACAGGTAATCCAAGTTCTGTAGGGATGAGTATCTATTAATAGAACGGATCTTCTGGCTCACTGCGCATCACCTTCCCATCCTCTGTAGTAAAGATGATGGTCCCTGGTAAAACAACAGGAAATATTAAAAGTTAAATAATTTTTAGAGAAGTGATAACACCAATTCAGTTGGTTTATAACTTTCAAGAAATAAGCACTCATACTCTGCTCAACACTTTAAAAAAAGTGGGAAAAACTAGTTATTTCCACAAACTTTTCTGATTCAAGTTTTGTCAAACTAGCCCAAAGCTTTTTCATGTCTTTATCTTGTACAAATGCTCTCAAATTAATTCTGACAGCTATTTATTTAAAGAAATGCATGACTTCCATTTGCCAAGTCAGTGAATTTACTTCACATGCGCACATTAAAAGTAATGTAGCATTTTTTACTGGCAGTAAACATAACTCCAAATACTATAATAAAATGAACCGTATCGCGGTTTATTTGGCTTGCAAGTTCATGCTCATAGTCTGTAGCAACTTTTCTATGTCCCTTTAGGTGTCTTAACTCTTACATGAAACCCAAACAAAATAACTGATTTTCACAATGACAGGGAATCATAAACTCAACCAACATTATAGACTGTCTAGGCAAATATATTAAATGGAACTTTTAGGCACCCCCAGTACCCATATAGTAACATTTGTAAATTCCTTCATTCTTGGCCATCTTCTCTGAGCTGTTGCTCAGAAGTGCAGTTTTGATTCATCGGTTCTAAAAAAAAAAAATTACTGAACCCATCTCTTCAGTGGAATGACTGTCAGAGTTTAAACTGAAAAGTGCCCTTGGCTTCCCAGTACTCCACATCCAACTCCAGTCATTCAGAAGGTTCTGCGTGCATTACTCCCGTCCCTCCTTTCTTCTCAAAAACAGTTCCTGAACCACTTCCCACACTTTCCATAAAGACATGAATCTAGAAGCACAGAGCCCATGCAAGCTACACTTCCATCTCCAGAACTCCAAAGTTCAGCTTTCAGGGTTCACAGCAAATCCCCACTTCTCTCATCTTACCTTTTCCCCAACCCTCACAGGCACCCGTTTCATTCCACCCAACACCCTGCCTCCCACCCAGGGTGTCGCTCCAGGGGAGCTCAGATACTTTTTTAAAAATCTTGTCCACTGTGGTTAGCATCAGCGGTTAAAGTTAGTCCGTGTGGCCCCAGAGGCTGGGGCAGACCGGGGGGTGGAGGGGGCCGGAGGGTCCGCGTCTAGACGGGAGGTGAGGCGTCCTCATCCAGACCGGCCCACAGCCAGCCTCTCCAAGCCCTCACCCACCCATCCCCAGACTCCTGAAGACACACAGCGCTCGCTCAACCCCAAAAGGGGGAGAAGGACAAATGCCCGCCCGCCCCGCGCGCAGGGAGGAAATCAGGCTGGGAAGCAGCACCCCCCGGAGGCAGACGCCGCGAGCCGACGCGGAGGCTGGGAGAGGCGACAGAGCCGCCGGGCTCAGGAAGTCCAGAGCCGGGGAGCAGCCCAACTTCGGCGTCCGGGGAAGCGGGGCTCCGAGAGAAAGGCGCGGAGCCCACGCCTCCGAGGCAGCCGAGCGCTCCACTTACACGGCTGGCGGGCGGCGGCCACCTTCCCTCCCGGGTCCCGAGCGCAGACACAACTTGCCGTCTGGCCCGAGCAGCACATCCGCGGCCGAAAGGACGGTCCTTCCCCCCGCGCCGCGGCCCCTGCCCTCCGCGGAGACCCCGGCCGGGCTCGGAGAGGAGCGGCCGGGCAGGCGGCGGAGAGTCGGCAGAAGCGCCCGCTGCGCCGGCCCCGCGGAGCCCCGGGAGCCCGCGCGTCCCCGGCGGCGGCTCGGCAGGAGCACTGTGGCAGCGCGGGGCGCCGGGCTCGCCGGAGAGGAGCCGCTCTCCCTTGGCAGGCGAGGCACGCACCGCCCCCGCCCCGCCGCCGCGCCCGGCCCGCGCCCGCCCCTCCCCGAGCGCAGACCGAGGGCGCGCGCGGCCGGCGCGGACCTTCCCGGCGCGGGGCTGGGGGCGCGCCCCGCTGCCCGGCCCCCGGCCCGCGCCCTCGGCCCCAGCCCTCCCACCCCTCACCCCTTTTGAGCAACTCCCTCAAAGGGGAGAGGGAGGGAGGCCGAGGACCGAGAAGTAGGGGAGAAAGTTCCTTGTTGTCTTCGCGATCCCGAGGGATTCGCAGAGGAGGAGCCGCGTTCGGTGTTTGCTTTCTGGGTCTGCTGCTTGGGGCTCCAGCTCAAGGTTCCGCCCGCATTTCTGAGATATAGAGGGCGTAGCGGGCCCTACAGAGTGGCCCCTTGGAGCTCTGAGGAGACTGTGGGCTGTGGCCACTTTCGCAGGGAGACCAAAGTGGACTTGGGGATGAGGATGGGAGTGGAGAGCCCAGGCCTCAGGGACTTCATAGGACAGCCACCGCTCCGGAAGAGCTAGGGAGAAGGCAGGGGGACACTTCACAGAAACTCTCCCAGGATCTGTCCTCCTCAGGAGCCTCTTCGAGATCTCGACATCTTTCTCTCTCTTGTTCTCTCCCTCCTCTCTCCCTCTCCCCCCCTTACTACCTTCCCTCTTCAAACCCTCTGCCCAATCAATAGCATCACTGAATATCTTGAGAAACAAGTGATTCTCATTTCCCTTAGCACTATAACCCCTTCTGAGGTTTAGTTACCTTTAGTAGAGGACTGTGGGAGTCTCTGCTGAAGATAGTATTTTAAGAATGGTGCCATCTGGGAGTAGCAGTTTGTGAAGTAGATACTTCCCTAGATCCAATTTGTGAAGTGCCTTTTCAAAGTAGTTAAAAGTAATAAATGGATAGGTATTATCTTTCATACTAAATTTTCAAACTGCACCATGTTAATTAGTCTGATAGCTTACATATTTTTCCACAATACAGCTAGAGATGGGCATTCTATCATTATTATTTTGAAAGACTTGTGTAACTGGTCCCAACCCTTTTGAAATCATAGAACATTTTAAGAATATGATGAAACTGATGAGCTTTCCGGAAAAAAATGCTCATACATATTAAATTGTATAACAGCAGTTCTCAAGGAGAAGAAGGGAGATTCTGTGACACACGTGACACACACACACACACACACACACAATTATCCAGGCCAAAATGTCAGTGGTATCAAGGTTGAGTAAACCTGTTTCAATCAAATGGCAGATGGTTCCCTGTTCCTATCCATGATCAGAATCCCTGATTTAAGTTATTTTCATTCATCTTGCACAAATCACCAGTTGTAGAGCATAATAATGATCAGTTTTACTTCCAGTAATGTTCCACATCCTTAGTTATTACAGAGCCTTCAGCTCTATATGTAGGAGATATTACTATGTAAATATAAGATAATGCTAGATTCCTACTCCCCTTCCATTCAGTCCACCAGAGAAATTGGTCTAGGTTGCTTTCTCAAGCTTGGAGGAGTTCTAAGCATTGAGATGGATGACTGGAATTAAGTCCTTGCTGTGAGTTGGTCAATACATCACGTTTTCTTAATTACTTTATCTAGTTCTGAAAAAAAGAAGAAAAAAAATCTTTGAAGAAGGTGCGATGGTTGTTTTACAGAGTGGTTAAATAATTAGTCTGAGACCTTATAGCTAGAAAAGTGGATTTCTAGAAATGTCATTATCTGCCTTCTGTGAAATAGAGCAAATGGGAGAGATTCTGCCTAAAGTGAAAAGAAGATAGAGGCTCAATTTTTAGAAATTATCAGGATCAGTATCATTTGTGAATAATAAAAGAATGCATAGTGTGTTGTATATAAGGACTTAAATTTCTAACTTAGATAAGTCAGTTTGGACCAATGGTGAACTTTCTGAGCCTGTTATCGCATATATAAAAAAAGGTTAAAATAGATGATTTTTATTGTAGTCTTCTAGCCCATGACTTCTAGTATCATGATTACATGGGTACTCATCTTTGAGAAAGGTTTAGGAGTCAATAAATCTTGTTCAAGGACTTAATGAGAAAGCAGAGGCTTAGCATCCTTCCAGGATCTTATCCAAAAATAAACCTAGGATCCATGTATCCTGATTTCCCTTTTCTTCCACTGTGTAATTATCATCCCAAACTATAAAGTCTTCCGAATTACTCTTTGGGTTCTTACATGCATACTTTATAAGCAAGAAGTATTATAATATCTTTAAAACCCTTGCATTAAATTTACACCTTAAAAAAAAATCTTTAAATTACTTCCTAGCCAGAAGTTCCCACATAGCAGATGCTACTTATACCTCCTATTCTAGGCCTGAGTATCTAGTATGTCTGGATAGTTGTCCCATTGAGTCATAAAATGAGATCATGAATGTAAAAAGTATGTGGAAAGGTGCAAAGTATCTATGATAACATTCTTAGTTTGCTACCTGATATTAATTCCCAAACCCCTCTCTTTCATTCACTAGGCTTTTCTATCCTCCTTCAAACTCAGTGATGGACACACGACCCTGTTTTAGCCAATTAGTCTGCTAAGAAGGCCTTTGGGAAAGATTGTATTCTCTGATAAAATGAGGAGGTCTGAGAGAACAGTGCTCAAAATGTGCTGGCTGCCTTTGGACACATTCTTGAAAGATGAGATGTTTGGACCTTTGGAAGCCTTCTTGTAACCATGAGGGTAATCACAGAGACACAATCCCAGCACTCTCACATTATGGGGCTACTTACCTTCTTTTGAATTTTTTAAAAGTAAATTATAGATTTTTGCCATGGTTTAATTCACTGTTGTTTGAATTTTCTTCTTGTAGTGGCTGGAAGCATTCCTAATTGATAATGCATTGTGCAAATAAGACATACAGTCGATGACAGGAGACATACATTAGTCAATGTTGCATCCTAATGCTTGACAATGGAAGATAGGTACTCAATAATTAAACATTAACTGAGAGGACTAATGAACAATTCAAATCTTTGTGATTATTATCTTTGTTCTAGTGCAGCCTACAGAATGGATATTTTACTTTTTAAAAAAGATTTATTTATTTAACTTTTAAACAAATGGACTGTGCTTTGTGTAATTAGGGTTGGAGTATGATAGTGAAATCATAGAATCATGGATAGTGAAATTATGAAATCATGGAATCAAATCACCACTGCTGACCATTGGGGAGCGGTTGGAAAGGGGCTTCTATTCATATGTATGTCAAACAAAGTGACTGGATTGATACAGTATTCATACCCAACCTCCTTCCTCCATATCATTCTCTTTAATAGAAGCAGTGCATGTTAAAATCTCTATTTCCCAGCTTCCCTAGAAATTTGAGTGGCTTTGCGATAGTTCTAGCCAATGAGATGGAAGTGGATAGAAGCCACTTGAAGCACAGAAACCATCTTTTAAACATTAGGTGGCATGACCAAGGGCAAATATCAACACACTAATGAAAATGGAATAAAATGGTCGAAAGTCTTTGTAGGCAAAATCCTCAGATGTCTCTTGGGGGACACCAGTAACCCTTAGCTCTTTTAGTCACTTTAGCAATAAATACATTCCTGCTGCACTAGTCACACAAGGTATTTTCTTGCAGTCCAGGGACCAGCAGCACAGAAAGTGGTAAGACAAAAAACACAGAGAGGACAGCAGAGTGTGTAGGGAAATTCTGTCTCCAGCGAATGGTGACTGTGAAGGGCAGTTATTGTCTATGGCATGTAGGAGAGAAGGTGGGTTCTCCTTAACATTGAGCAAAGGAAACAAGAATAGGCATGAAAAGTTTACAAAATGTCTTCTCTTAAAGTGTTAACTTTGAGGAGTTTAAAATAATAAGAAATTTTCAGCATTATAAAATGGCCGGATATGAAAAGGTTTGAATACTGACCACTGAGATATAGATGCAGCAAGGTCCATGGTGTAAAAGAGAACTATTGATATAAAAGGAAGACACTGAATTGGGACAGGGAAGAGAGCTCATCTGTAACTGCTCTTGACTGTGGTGTTCATCAGTTCTTCTTTGGAATGTGTCATTTATTCCTTAACAGATGCTGGGAGATACCCCTAAGAAATGCACCACTAGCTGAAAAACTGTAATCACAGTTTTCAGTATGGAAGCACTGAACAGCATTTAAAATCAATAGTTTGAGACCTTGGTAACTTCCTCCTTTTGGGCATTTCCTCCATTTTTTCATTCCTAAACTAGCTCTTTCCCTCATGAATCTTAAGACAAATTTGAATGGGTATTGCTATGGGTTATGTCTAATAGCTATGGGTATTTTACTGTCCTCTGTTCATCTTATATAGTGGGAGAAAAATCTCATTGGACAAGTGACCTGTTAGCTTTCCTGGCCTCCA